TACACGAACATCTAATTAGATTCCAGTTTTTTTATTCGTTTACCCGATATAGTTCGGTTTCGTCCGCACGAAGTGACTTGTAATTCCGTATAAAAACGAACACATTGTTAGGTGTACCGTGTTCGTAGATACCGGAAACAATATTATTTCCGTGTTTACTCTCTTCGACGAAGAGAGTAAAAAACTGCGTTCTAGTTTTTCAAAACTCCGATCAAAATCGAACAAGGTCGTTTCGTGTGGTGTTATTCATATAATACTTACTGTAGTGTCTTGTGCCATTTAAGGAGTTGCGTTTAGGCAGTTTTAAAACATTCTGGTATTGCGGGTGGATTCTATTATATTTTGACGTTTCGTAATACGTACAATATTATATAATTTTTTTTTTTTTTTTAAACGTGTACTTACAAGTACCTAGGTACTTTAAATAATAATAATAAAAAAAAATGCATAAAAAGTAAATTTTTTTTTTTTTTTATAGCAAGTATTATATTAATATATCACACAAATCAATTAAATTAATATGTACTTACTTTGGTCTATTGCATGGAAACATTTGTTTTACCCCTGAAAATGATCGTTGTAGAAACGTTTTATAACTGCTATAGATTTGCTCGCGTTTTTAGGAAAAACAAATAAATTATTATTAAATACAATCAATGAAGAATTAAAAAGTTAAGTTCAATTAACTTTTAATTTTTTTTTTTTTTAACCAACTTGATTCACTTTTTTTCACATCAACTTAATAAAAACAAGTTAATTTTAAATTATACCACGTTAATTTCAATTTTTTGTGATTTTAACACAATATGTATGCAATTTTGAATCTTTAAACCAGCTGAATTGGTACCATAATTATAATATATCGTTTTATTAGTTAATATGTGTTTGGAGTTCCGAGTTAAAGATGTCAGTATCATTTGAAATGTCTAACATTAACCTCCCTGGCCCATCAGACTCCAAGAGCCTTAATTGTTTTATGCCTGAGTATGTTCTTTATTTATGCATTTAATCGTTAACTTTGTACTTTAATATTTGAATATGTTTTTGTTGCCTGACGATGGTTTATTCGTCTAAACTACTAGTAACTTTGTTTGAAACAATATTTTATTTATTTAAATTATATTTGTAGCTTTAGAACTAAGATATATTAGTTATTATTTTTCTTTTCTTAAAACATATTGATGAGTGATTATTCAAAAAAATAGGCGGCCTTGTTGAAAAGTTTTATCCTAGGGCCTTTAAATGTCTTACTATTAATTTGATTAATTGAAAATAAGGCAATATAAGTTATTGTCAAAACATATTATTATTACATTGTCATTACTACGCAAAAAAATACCGGCTGATACTGCTAATGGACGTGCCACTTGGATCAGAATCTAAAATAATAGAAACTTATACTTATACTTAATTATGGACGGATACTGATATCAACTTTTAACGCATGTTAACCATATATCGTTACTTTTTTTTTTTTTCAATATAAACTTAAGTTAATTTTATAATTTATTATTATTATTATTATTATTGTTTTACCCGGACCCAGTATTGAAAATTTCCAACTGACGACGCAGAAACATCGCAAACGACTTGTTCGTGGTCCCATATGCGGTGGCTAAATACTTAGCCCGTTAGTCATAAAATACTCGCGTATGTCCCGGGAGTTAATTCCTTTAAAACCATTATAAAGTATATTCGCCGCTCGCGCGTACAATTTAAACTATTATTATAATACTGCACATCCTTAAATTATGTTTTGCAATTATTTTAATACTCTGATTATACTATAATATTAATAGGTTTAAATATTATATTATACTGCAGCACATTATGTTTAAACATATTACCGTTTTAATTGTTTATTCTTTTTCTTTCGCTCTCTTTGCAATTTCATAAAATAATATTACCCATTTCGTTCTATATTATAATATATTGTACAATATAATCGGCCGTGCAAAATTATTATTTGCAAGTTTTATTGCAAAATCAAACTTTAATATTTTCGTTGTGTTGTAGGTTCTGAGCGTAGCGAAGAATGTATGGGTTTTAATATATTATGTGTATAATTTGCTTTTTTAATCTTTCCCGAAAAATATAGGGACTATTGTCCCGTACTGGTTCTTTTAAATAAATAACTACAAAATCCATGTTGCAATAAGATTTTCCGTGCAATAATTTTTTTTTCGAACAAATAACTTACTTATGTAAATACTTTTTGGAGTCATATACCATAAAAGGTATTGTAAAACGTTACACTATCGTTTTTTTTCTCACTTATTATTGGAAATGAAACCGTCATTTTGGTTTTTAAATAGTAGCCTATATTAATTATGCCGTAAATGGATAATGTTTATTAGTTAAAATACATTTTAGCGTTGACATTTTTATTTCAATCAACCCGTTTTCAACTCGAAAAACAAGAAGACAATTTACAGCAAGACCGATTTCATTATTTTCGATTATGGTTTTTTGTTTAATTTCAGTTAACTGTTGAGATTTACAATTTCTACTAATTACTTATTTTAGACTTTTTTAGACGTGACATTATTTTTAAAACATTTGGGAAATTTTCGAGCTATTTATATTTTACAGAAATTTTAAATCTTCGAGTTTATTTTAGTTTTTTTTTTTTTTATGCGGATTAAACTATTTTGGTAGAATAGAAATGTTTGATAGTTACACACGAGGTTTATCATTGCGGGTTTTTATCGTTCTGTACATGATAGTAAAAAGTTGTAAATAATTTGTAGAGTTATTCAAACGACGATATCGTACGAAAATAGACTACACTGCACACTGCATTTGTGCCCGTGTTATAGTATAAATTACATCGTGTTACGCAGACGTGATATTTTTTAAACACTCGAAATTATATTGTTATAAAGTGTTTAGAGCGCACGATAATATTAAAATAATCGTCGACTAAACGATATTCTGAGCGGAGGCGCCGAGAATTACAATTTAAACGCTCCCGTCGTCCGCGTCGTTTTTTTTTCGTCTATTCGCGAAATCCGTACTATGAACTTTATTACATAAGTCTGCATTAATTTTTGGTTTAATTTTAACTCAGTACTATTATTGTCCCACGTGGCTTTGCCTATTTATTTGAATGGAAAAAATATAAAAACTTGTCCCACGTATTTCCGTGTGGCTCCACGTTTCTTGACCGTGATGACTAAATTAAATAATACTACAATTTTTTGTTCATTATTATTAAAATTGAAATGAATAAAATCGTTATTACTATAAATATCACCTACGTTTTTTCCCAGGTTTTCCAATTATTAAGAAAAAAAAATGATTTACCTCAATTTCTTCTAACTTGGCAAAATTCTTGATCAAAAAATATACACCACTTGAAAGTTGAAACATAATTTCTGATAGTTTTAAATAGACTTAAAAAAAAAAGTAAAATAAAAATAACTATTATCAAATTATAGTAAAACCTTCGCTCAAAGTCTAATAAATTATCTGCATAATGGTAGGTAATAATAATATTAAAATAGTGTGAAGATAGTTAATTGATTGTTTTAAAATTAAATCGAAATTAATTTCTGGACACGATATAGGTAATTTTAAATTACCTAACTCGTTTCATTATTATTAACTCATTGTAAACAATGAGTTAACAAAAATAAGTTAATTTAAAAAGGAAATCAAAAGTTAAACTCAAAAATAAAGTAAAATTTATACTCGTCAACTTTTTAATTATCAGCCTCGGTGCATTGTAATAATATATAACCGCTGAACGCGTTCAATTCCGAAATCAATAATAGAAAGGTACAATTGGGTGAAAGTTATATCTATTATAATAATGTTTTTCGTAGCCGCTAAATGTGTTTTGTGACCAAGAAAAAGAAAGACATTGTAAAACTCATTCTGTGCTATACCTATAACAATAAAATTCGAGGTGATTCTATGAATTTCAACGGGGTACCAATGCTATTGGGAATTTTGGCGAACATTCCCGGAGAAAAAATATTGGTAAATTTTAAAAATAGTTTAGCAAAATATGACAAATTCAAGAGTTATTTTAACGTTAAAAATTCATAAAATGAATACTCGGTGCTGGTTATTTGACGGCAATTTGGCGCCGACATGTTTGTTTGCGAAATGAAAAAATGAGAGTCATCAGTCATGGCAAACTCTGAAAATAATCTATCGAAATCTTAAGAATTTGGGGTAAAATTTTACCGAAATATCAATATTCACTACTCACTAGTAACATGTTAAATTGAAGTAGGAGGAGGGTCAAATATCATGGGAATCAATTTTCACGATTACACCGAGACCAAAATAACGCACATTTAAATTTCGGATAATGACATTTTTATTTTCTATTAGCCCCACATGAAGCTACTACGTTTTAACGTTATACTAAATACTGATATATTATAAAATATATAATTTTTTTCATACCTACTCAATTTTAATTTTTCACATTAAACGATTTCTTATTATATTTGTTTTTTAATGCCTTATCTCTTTAAGGTATTTTTTTTTTGCATTTTATCTAAATTTAAAAAGTAAATTTATATTTTTTAAATCAAAATATAAATTCTGGTGGTAATGAACCGAATCGGCTTTATCTCATTATCGGCATAATGTTTATGAAGAGTGTCAAATGTTAAAATGTGTACACAATATTTTTAATGAGTTATTCTACTAACATTTCGTTATCCACCTATATGGTAATTTATTATTATTATTATTATTATAGATTTTTTTCAGTATTTCTGGTGTTTTTTTCCGGTTGAGATTTTTAACGCTTTGATTTTAAGTGTATGTAGTTTTCTTTTTTTCCAATGTTTTATTAGGGCTCTTACAACATTCAAACGCTGTACGTATATAAATATATAAAAATCGGTCGACCGTAGTGCACAACACTCGAGCAAATTGAATTATTATTCGAGTCGACGACGCGCGACGGCGGGATTATTGTGACAGTTTTTACGAGGCGTTGACGGCGGCATCGTCGTCGTCGTTGCAAAATAATTACGATGCGCAGCATAAGACAAACAGTTTATGGCACTGCAAATTGCATCGACAACAATTCAACTCGGGCGTTTGAAACGAGCCACAGACACAAATGGAATCCTCCGATTGGCTCTTTCATTACCATTAATCACAAATGTATTATACCGATAACACGAATTTCTGTATTAATTGATTTTCACGGTTGGACCGGTATCAAACGCTACGGGAGTTATAACGTTCCAAGTCTAAACCCTAAAACTTGGTCCACGGAAGGTTTAAATGAAGCAGGAAAGAAGGCCCACAATTTGACGTATGATCGTAGGTTTTGAACCCAACGATATTGATTATTCTATAGACGCCACGTTAATCCATCGAAACACCGTCAGTTGAGATGTAAAACATAAGGTGATAACCTATTAAATTAATAACTGGTTATTATTATCATCTAGCTAATGGTGTGTTTCATTGCATCTGTAGTTCGTTTCATACACGCACTTTAGATAGGGAATGTATCAGTCCACCGAATTTTAGCAGTTACACCGGCCAGAATGGGGACGGGTACAGCCATTGTTATAGGTAATTTAATGTATACCTGTACGTAACGATACAAACCATTGCTAACGAAAAAACGATTCTGAGCGAAGTTCAGTTGATAGTGATACTTTGTCAACAATAAATATATAAGCCATATTACAATAAAATAATTTAATAGGCTCTATATATTTCCTTTAATAATATTTGTTTAATTTTGTACCGATTTTCCCAGTTTTTCATATTTGTTGAGAAAACTCCTGGGGAAATAGAAAAACAATATCTTTAAAGTACCTCCCCATACCGATTTCCTTCCAGAACAGTTGCTACACGTAAAAATTGGAATAAGTTCTCTGGTAGAAACAAGATGTTTGGTGAAAATTTAACTAAAGACTAGTTTATTATTGTGTGCTATCTGCCGACTTAAACTCGGTACCAAGCGAGACTTGTAGATTTAGGCGTATAGTATGTATGGAAGGCAGTCAATTCGAATAATTAATTTTAAAAAATGATCGCACGACCGAAAGATAATCGAAAAATACGTTTTTCTCCAAAAGCACAAGATTTCCGTAAGTAAATCGTCATTCAGCCTTGGATTTTATTTCCACTGATCAAAAAAACAACCTCAAAATGTCAAAAGTTCAGTAATACGGTAACGACCGACACGATAAAGGTCAATAAAATGCGTGCGTGTGTTTATTCGTCGTCGTAAACGATATATGAATTTGAACCGGACAACGGTTTATACCGCGGGAAAGTCGTTCACGGTAAACGTGATATTGTTATTATTGTTGTTGTATCGGCCGCAGTGGTCACACGTTTTGCGATAGTGAAAGTGAAGAATTAGATAATAAAATCCGCGACCGACCGAGTGATATTATTATTCTCTTTTTATGCTCCTCGAGGCCGCGAACTCGGCATCGTGGACTATAATATTATATTGCTTTTCACGTGGCGAACGAGTATAGTAAAAAAAACAAAATTAAAAAAAACCCCGTGAAAAAGACCGAGTCGGAAAATTTAAAAGGCCTGCATGCGAGAAAACGGCGAATATTATTAAATTTGTGCGTCTATTCCGGAAATCTCTGTACGTTTTCCCACCAATGAGGTACCGAATTTAGCCGTTTTTCAAAATACTATATTCAACAAAATATGTACCATTAAATTTGCCAATCCCTTTTAACAGACTAGGTAAATTGGAAAACAATAAAACATCTCTATAGCTACAGATGATGTTTTTATTTAAAAACTAGGTAGGTACTATATTATTTTTTATCCTACAGCGGTGTTATAGAAGAAAAACCTGAAATTAGTATAAAATAGAATTAAAAAAGGTTTGTGGTATAACGCATAGATAACACGTACATTTCAGAAAAAAAAAATCAAAATATCCTGCAAATGCGTTCTGAGTCATATGACACAGCGAGAATAATGATTTTTTATACAATTATCATGAACTTTGAATTCAGAGCGTAGCGAAGGATCTATTTGGTTCTACAATGATGTGTGGTTTTTTTGAGTCAGTAAGGAACTTTTCGAACAGAAAACTTGCTCCAATATATCAAGTGTAGCACTTTTTCTAGATAGAAATTTTATCTAGTTGGTATATGGAAAAGGTCATTTTTTTAATTGTTCAATAGGTTTTCATAATAATTGAGAAAAGCTAAAAACAAAAAAAAACAAATAATCGGGAAAACAGCAAATATTTACGGCGTGCCACGGCATTACAGATTTCATTGTTTTTAATTTTTACAAACTCTGTTTTATACCAGGAATATTGTTTCAATAAAAAAATGCTAAATTACATTATGGTTGTATTTTTAATCAAATTGCTGAGGAAACAAGTAATTTTTTGATTTCCCCAACAATTATTTGATAATTAGAAAAGTCAAAAAGTAAAAATGTACAGTGTATAATTTCATTATTTTAAATTGGTACGCTTTATTTTCTACTACCAGATTAAAGGAACTTTTCTCAGAATCGTTTTTCGTTAGTTATGGTATATCGTTGTTTATAGACATACATTTAATAACCTTCTCTACTTTCCATCCATAATATTGACGTACCAATCAGAATCAACTATTTTTTTATTTGAATACATTTCTTGATTTATATTATTTACTGATTAAATTGAATTTACTTTTTCATTTTTAAGACGGCAATAAATATTGTGATTTGGGAAAATGTAACATTATTTTTATTTTAAGTACATTTTGATTCATTTGAATAATCTTATAAACTGATATTGTGGCTAAAAAAAATTGTTGCCTATCATTTTTTTGTTCGATATTAAAATAAATTAATCGCCGTGTAAAAGACCCCGATTGAAACGGTCGTACATTTCCGGTTTAACCAAGAAAAATGGTTTTAGAATCCGTAAAAAATGCCTTCTGTCTGCGTACTTATCCGTTTCTTGATCCCTGGGCCCCACCACGTAGTAAATCGTTGAATCGCAAATAACATTTTAGTACTTTTACTACTATTACCACGAAAACTACAAAATACGCACAATGAAAAAAAACAATTATGTTTTCTATGATTTTTGGCGATCGATGACGACACAGGATACAAATTTAAAAAAAAAAAAATGGGTGTGCCACTGCTGTTGTAGGTGGGTATTGTATAAGATAGAATACATAAAATTATTTAATTTATATCTGTACGCAACGTTAAAACATCGTTAATAAAATACGGTTCTGAGCAAAGTTCGGTTAAATGTGTTTTGAAATAATGCTTTTTTTTTACGATTCTCATTAAAATTTCAACTTTAAATAATGCTTAAAAAAAAAATAATTAAAACGTACCACTTCATAAATTACAGTTTTTCGGAAATTGTGACGTCTATATTCGTGGTTTGGCGTCCGGCTTATACAAATTTAAAAATGAAATAATATCGAAATTTAGTAGGGCGGGTGGCGATTAGTTTTGTCGGAATACACAATATATTCATACGGTATATGCGTAGCTATAAAATAATATTATTGCGGTAATATTTCACGCATCATTGTAATATTTTGTTAATGGCTATTGTGATATTCGGTGGAATTTTACCGAAAATATTCCAAAAGCCCGTTAATTAAACGGCGTTGTCGCGGTCGTTGTTGTTCGCGGTCGTCCCGTCGGAAATAAAAGAAATGTCGACATTTGTAATGTTTTTTTTTTTTTTTTGAGCGTCGAATTTCCCTGCGGTATATGCTGTTTTACACGATTCGATTCGCGTCCGGTTAACAAACACACGTATATATATAACACGTATTGTAAAGAAAAATAAAATATTTAAAAATTACGGCGTGTATAAATCAAAAAAAAAAAAAACCGGTGACGTCTCTACGACGGCGTAGTGTGCATATACTGTATGCATCTGAATATTATGAAATGATTTTGAATTTTTGAAATGTTTCGGTTTTCGTTCCTCGCGAGGCGGTGACGACGACGTACTTATAGGCAATAATTCACGCCAAAATAATAGTCACTTCCGTGTTTTCGATTTCGGGCGCGGTGCGTTTTATTGTTGTTATTTTTTGATATGTGTGTGTCGCAGTTTGTTCTTTGTCTCCGCAGTAAAGAACACTATGACGTACGATGGTATTTAGTTTGGAAATGACGTACGATAGTCTTGTATGACCCGCAGTGTATTTTCTCTTTTATGAGTTACGGTGTCGTATTTTTCGGTTTTCCGCAACGGAGCCGTCGATTATTGGCCCGACGTCCCCGAACGGTTTTTTTTTTTTTTTATAGCTTTTCGGTTTTTTTTTTTTTTTTCTCTCGCCGAAAGATTTTTCATTTGTTATTATTATTATTTTTTATTTTTATTGAAAGGTCGTCATTCTTTAAATACTTATTATACGACCGGCGTGGCGTACATATAGTGCGGACCGACGAAATCGAAATGTCCCCCATAAATAGTCCTGTGTGGGTGAAATGAAAAAGAAGATGGCGAAAAAAAAAAGGTTAATATGTGAGGATTGTCCGATTCCCATTACTGTGGGAACGCTACCGAAAAATATTTTACGTTCTTTACATTATTTATTAATATATGTGCCGCCCTGTATACATTATTATACAATAATATCAAAGTATAATATTATGGCACGCGGCGGAAAAAAAAAATGAAATATAACGTAATTCAAATTATCGAATATAATAATATTTTTTTGTACGCGATTAAACGACTTTTTTGAGTTATTTCAAACTCGTATATTTGGCTAACGTTCAAACGAAACAAAATGAATAATCATATATAATATAATACGCGTTTTTTATCGTATTTTGGCCGTGATTTCTATTCTCCCTGATAGATCGTTTACGATTTTACTATGCGTATATACGTAGGCACATATGCAATTACCAATTTGTGTATAATTACTATAAAACTTATACCTAACTACGTATTATATCTGAGGGCTGGTGATTTTTTTTTTGTACTTTAATGTTATAACGTTATACATCGCCGATTTTACTGCAACAGCACATATCTCAAAAAAGTTATAAATTGGATTATTTATATTAATAAAACAAAACTGTTTCCGTAAATATTTTGTCCTGTCATTATTAGACTCGTATAGGTTATACCGTAAACCACGACAATGATAACGCCAGTTAAATAAAATTTATAGGTACACGACGTTATTTTCAAAAGGTATTCGGAGACAATAATTTACGTTTAATCGAACTATACTACTTAAGGTTTATCTTCATTGTTTTAGTTTTGAGATTTACTAATACCTAAAAAAAATGATTTACGGATTGTTTTTCGTTTAATCGATAGGCGTGTATTTGTTGTTTGACTTCGAATGTAGCGAAAAACATATTAGTTTGAGATATGTCTTTACGCATCAAATTTCTCATCTATATCTACATTAACCAACCCGTAACAGACAGTGTTTTGTATGTTGTTATTTTGTCGAAAAAAAAAATATAATAATAAAACAGATTATGATATATATACATATCATAATTACGTACGAATATTATTATATGTTCGGTAGCGGATGGACAGGGCAGAAAGTGACTGTTAAGTAAGGGAGGGGTGGGCGAAAAGAGCCCGGCGAATATACTTGTTTCGTTTTCTTTTCTTTTTCTCTTTTTGCTGGACAGTTTTGTCGCTCTAACGATAATCTTCGCTATACTGCACACTAGTCTGCAACACCGTAATAATTAAATTTGCGTGCGCGAGCAGAAGAACTTAATGAACGGCGGGAAGTTTCCTCCATATAATAATACGATGAAACGGTCGGTTTGAGCTTATACACAAAAAGACGGACGCACGCTTGAATAGAATTGTAATCGGGCAGTGATTGCGCTTGACACGTCTCTTCCAGTAAACCTAGCAGCGGCGTACCCATGGGTGGCTAAGGGGGTATCAGCCTCTTCCCCCCATTAGTTGTGTTAAAATACAAACAAAATAAATGAGTTAAAAATGCTGACAGATGTTCCATTGTTATAAGCGGGAAGTTAGGGAGTTAAGATATAAATCAAGTTATTTAATTTATATCTGTGCGAAATGATAAATAATTGTTAACGAAAAACGATTCTGAGCAAAGTCTGGAAAGATATGTTTTCCAATACCTCGATTTGTACGATTTCTATAAAATTTTAATTTTAAACGATTTTAAAATAAAACTACTACATGATTCTCAATTTTTTTTCCGGCAACCATATAAACTAATAATAAATTTCGTGTTTAATTTTCAATTTTATCCACATAATACATAGCTCAATCAAATAATACTCAATAATGTGAATAAAATGCCTATAATTAGCTCAAAAATAACTATAATATTTTGAAACTTTTACAACGTTTTTGTGAAAGTTTTTGGTATTTACAATTATTTTTTGTATTATATTATAATTATTTAAAATAAAGAAATCATTATTGCGTAAAATTTTGTGATTTTCCTACGGTTTTTTTAATTATTAAATCGTTATCATCCGATTACGATTAATTAATTATTTGAAGTAGGTTATTTAGCATTGTTATTATTACTTAGTGAGGTATTTCATTAAATTTCGCATGAAAACCATTGACAAGGAAAGCGTTTTATCGGGAGTACATATTAAACGTTGTCAAAATCAAGGATCTCGTAAAAAATGAGCGTATTAGGCGGGTTATACTGCATTTGACTTTGACATGTTTATGTTATCAGGTATTGTTTTTTTTCCTTAATTGCATATCCTATTGGGTAGATTCTTAAATATAGATTCGTTTCATTATGTCTGCAGTTAGTATTCAAAACATCTAAGTTTTATTTTGCATAATAAATCAAAATGTTTTCCCTAAATTGTATTTATAAGTCTATATTTTTGGCTCTTTTTTCTATTTTTAAGAAAATATTTGATGATATTTTCGTACAAAATATAAAAAGCGAAACTCCGTGCGTTTTTCATTTTATTCATTAAATCTGTTTATCGTATTATACTAATATGTGTATATTCATTTATCATTCATGATAGGAAGATGATTTTTATTTTTAATACCCCAATTTCTATAGGCCTTCTAAATGAAGCCAGAACCCTGCCATTTTGTATATGACTTGCATTAGTATCAAGGATATGCTTTTGAGAATTTAAACTTTAAACCCCATCTTTTTTCCATTTTCTACTCAAATTTACCATTTTGTTTTGGAAGTAGTTTAGATATAGTTGTAGTGTTGTGTAATAAATTGTATTTTCATTATGTATTCGACTACCTATTTATTGATTTATTAAGAATATTTACGTATACAATTATATTTCGTATTACGCAGGAAGGAGTCGACGGGGGTTGTGACGACGGTTATATTTCGTATGGGTAACAAATTGCATACGAGTAATATTATTTTGTTAAAACAATCAACAGAGAGTAGATGACGGGTGTGTAACACAGACGGGGCAGATATATTTCGTATAGGAATACGAAATACTTGCTTTGTATAAGGTACCAGGAAACATCATCTTGTGATAACAGTAGGTATACCGATACATGTATTAGGTATATCTTGTAATAACAGTAAGTATAAAAGTGATGAGATAAATATGGTAAGAGTAACCATAAAGGTATAACGATAAGTATAACTTGTGATAATAACAGATATAACCGTGAGAAGAGTGTGGTAATAATGTCGAAAGTGGGCGTGACCTAAATGGTCTAGAAAGTGTTGGGAAATTCGAGCGACCATGTATTAGGTATGGCACTTGGTCTTTGCTCCTGCTCCTGATCCTGATCCTGGGGTAGAACTCTCTATTTTATACTACTACGGTACATTATTGAAATTTTGTATACCTTCTGCAGTGACCTTTAAATTATCATATAAAACTCATCGTAAGGTTGTACAGCTGACGAAAGCGACGTGAGAAAATCAGACGACATTTGTCTTTCCTCCTCCACCATTAACTCTGACGTAATTATAATGACGATGTCGTTTTATATGTTCTTCATTATATATCTAGTTCAATATTAATTATTTTAGATTTTATCTTTATTCGAAGTTTATAAGTAACTATACATTGATTAATGAATACTTATTTGATTTATAATTTTTAATTTAAAGCGTTGAATTTATTATATTAATTGTAATATAAGTATATATAATTTTTTTCTGTACCCTTGGACAGTGTTTTTTTTATTACCTACCTGATTTTTAAATTATATTTTATTTTGAAATTGGTTTTCATAAATCTGTAAATTGATAATCGTTTAGATATATATATATATATGATGGTTTAATTTTACCATAAGTTACTGTAGCGTTTTTCGTATCTCGAAGTTCTTATGTTCGGTTTATAAATTTGGAATACAGAAAAACGATTCATATATAAGACCATCAATCGCCACTTATAATAGTATTATATACCAAGTACAAATGACCACCGTATGAGAGGAAATATAAGCAATAAAATGTTATTTTTTTTTATATGATATTTAATACACAATATTAATGTATTATAATAAAATAATCGGTTTTGTTTTATGGTAACACTCACAAGGAATCTATTTAATGTCTTATTGTTGTATTTAACTTAATAGTATTTGATTACATATTATTTTCGTAAATCTGGAATCTCGTCATCATCCGACTCATTACGGAGTCCCAATTTTTTCAAGATGAGGTCTGATGCCTTCTCCGCAACCATCATGGATGGAGCGCAACTCTCGGCACTGAACATAATCGGGAGAACGGATGAGTCCACGACCATTAGTCCTTCCGTATCGAACACCTCGAGGTCTTCGCTCACGACGCCTTTATCAGACGTAGTGGCCATGGAACACGTGCCGGCTATTTGGATATTCATTGTCGTCAAATGTTTGATGACGTGTTTCCAATATTCAGCGCTGTTCGCATCTGGCTCCGGGCCCCCTTCAATTTTCAAGGGAACAATCGTCGGTCCATAATGTTTGAACGCTTCCGATTGTATGAGATCTTTCACCCATTGAATGGCTTTCATCAGAGTGTCCACATCCTCATCGTCCAGCGAACCGTATTTTATCGTTGGTTCCCATTCTTCGCCGTTCTTCTGTATGGTTACTTGGCCGGTATTTTTCGGGCGCAATAAAGAAATTCCCACTATCTGGATATCATTGTGGTCGTTCAAGTCGATCAGCTGTTCCGTGATGTTGTCGTTGTAGTTGAACGCGTCCAATTGCGATGGCATAAACACGGTATCGTCCTCTGAGTAATAATAAAAGAATATCTGGATGTCCGGTGTCCCGTTACCGTCGATATCGATGAAACCGGTAAAACTACCGAGTCCTATTGTAGCTAGCGGGCCGGTGTGCTTTATTAAGTATTCAAAAACCATTTCACTGATAGAATACGATTTAATTGGTTGCGATTCAAATTTAACCACTAGACCTAAGAAATTCGGATGTGCTTGTAAATTCAAACCCACGTTATCGTTTTCCGCGACCACCGGTATATCCAACGACAATAGATCCTTCAGTGGCCCGACACCGGAGCTGAGGAGAAGCTGTGGTGATCCAATTGGACCGGCACTTAAGATAACAGACTGTTTGCTCTTGACTTTAATCAGTTCACCCACTGAATTTTCAAATTCTACTCCGACGGCTTTTTTGTCTTCGAACAGAACTCTTTTCACCGTAGACCTAGCTGATATTTTCAAATTGTATTTTCGGTTTGCATTCTTTAAAAAAGCTTTGGCCGCGTTCACACGCAGCCCGTTCTTCACGATCGCGACGGACGAAATAAAACCTTGATGGTTCTTCACGTCAAAAAAGTCTACCGTGCTGTAGTTCGCGGCGTTCAGCGCAGTTGAATAAACCTGTCTGATCTCCACCGTCTTAGTATTGTGGAACGAGTCTACGTTCAATTTGCCCCCTTGGTTGTGCGATTTACGTACCGTTTCGTTTGTTGTGATTTTTTCGAACTTGCAGTCTTCTGAACGTTTATAGTATTTGATCACGTCTTTCCAACACCATTTAGTCAGTCCAGCTAACTCGAACTTAGTGTAATCCGCGTCCACCCCACGGTCGTACAACATGGTGTTCAATGCTGTAGTCCCGCCCAGGCATTTTCCTCGGATGAGCGCGACACGTTGGTCGGTCAAACTCTGACCGAAAGTAGTATCGGTTTCCGCGCGATAATTCCAATCCATTTCCGAACCGATCGACGTAGCCCATAGACCCGGTATTTCAGATTCGATCGACGGTGTGTTGCCTGCTTCTAGTATCAAAACGTTCAAATCCTTTTCGTCGCTAAGTTTGGATGCTAAAACCGAACCGGACGCTCCACAGCCAACAATAATGACGTCGAACTCGTCGTCGTTTTTGATCGACAGACTATAGTCCCGGGGATAAGTAATTCTGGAGAACATACTGCACTGTTCCCTGTTTAGCGAGTTTAGAAGTTTCAAAAATTCTGGTACAACGTACAGGCCTTCTACGTCGTAACCGTATTTCGGACACATTTCTAATGTGTTTATTCTCACCGCGTTGTCTTTAATCAACTCGGACCAACACTTCTTTTTGAACGTGGTGGATTTCTTTTCGACCGTCACCGAACGGGAGGTAGAACTTGAAACACTGCGTGATATACTATTGGACAATTTACTACTACTATTACTACTACTACTCTTCGCCACTGCGGTGGCTTCCGACTCCGATGTCGTTTTCACCGCTTTTATTAAACTGCTGTCACTTTTTTTAGCAAACGCTGATGCATTCAATAACGAAGAACTGACTCCATTTCCCAAGCTTGAATCAAATAAAATATAATATATTATAGTAAACGAGCACAAACACAAATAATATTATCAAATTTTTTTTTAATAATATAACACCTTAAAGATAAACGGCTTTACATGATATAAACATTTGAAAAACATTACTATTGAAATTATTTTTTTCTTTTGTAGATTTTTAACGAAACGATCTCGTATATTATGTATATTTTCTTTCAAATGTTGTTAACAAAACGGCGGCATAACCGAGTTTTAATATTTTTTTGCTAGAATACAGGTAAACCCAAACGTGTTTAAAAATAATTTTATAACATGCGTTTTGGCTAGTATGCAATGAAATAATACTACAGTATTTTAAAGTTTGTTGTAAACTGCGATTTATTTCTAACAGTATTTTTGTAAAGATGGTGTCGTCATTACCTAATAGTAATTTATAAGATATTTTAAAAATATATATTTTATCTTGGTTTCGAAAAGAGACTTGTCATATAATAATTAGGTTTAAGTTATAATATTAATAGGTATACCTATGATTTAATGTTTCAATCGGAGGATGATAAATTGCATAAAACATTTTTTTCTAGATAGGTAAACTCAGTTCTCTTGGCCGTGCCTCTCTAAACTTTAAATTTTATTATTACTGCGGTATTATTAATTTTAATTATTAAAACCATTCATCCACGCTACGAGGTTCACGCGTATCAAAACTTCTGGAAAAATAATCTATAAACTAAATTAAAAACAAGATTTGAAAACCAAAAGGCGATATATTATTATTTTACTGAAGATACGCGCAACGGGAATAGCATTTTCGTAAATACATACCTACTCGAAATTTAATTTAACCACCGTGTTTAAAATATAGCATCTTGTCTTGCAGTATACCTATACGGATAATGACGTAATGACGAAAACACAGAACACTAAGTAGCCGACTCTATGTGGAAATCTGAAGCTTCGTAGCTGTACTATATATGTATAACAATAGTGCAAATTGTGTTTATTGATTCGTGCGATATTTGTTCGTGCCGTTAATAATAATGTGCACGCGATAACGTATACCTGTATGCATAATGTTTGAAATGAATCACAAATTGTTTCTATTACATTGTCCAAGGCATAAACAATTAATATCACATGGGTTAATCAATAAAATTTGCCCTATATATTACTTATATTACCTATTGTGGGTATTGTGACTGTCTTATGGGTTAAAAGCGCAAACTGTGTACCTAAATGCCTGTAACAGTATTATTGTTTATTATTAGGTATAATAATTTTTCCCGAAAAAATAGAATGGCAAACATTGTGAAATGGATAAGTATGTATCTGATATCTGGACATATTTATAATGCTTAAAATGTAAACGCCATATCGTTTCATTATTATAACAAAATTATATCGTAACTGCTCTTCATTATAAAAATAGTGCCTATGTTAATCCGATATTATAAATATTGTGTTATATCATACACTCAGGGTGGTCCGTTTTCGTGTTTTATTAATGATAGACAAATATAATTATTATTTAATAAAATCTATATTATATATGATATACTTACAAGACTGCAAGCAGTCCCATTAGGAGCAACAAAATCCTGAAAACAGCCATGGTAATAATTTTGTGTTGAGTGCTGTGAATGAATCCCGTTTTGTAGCTTATATCGGCTAGTTTTATTTGTTTAAAGCGATTGTTTGAATAAAAAAAAGCGGTCAACATTGACGATGAACAAACGATTATTATTATTATTATTATTTTTGGCAGGAAATATAAAAATTTCCAATAAATCATTACGATATATGTTTTAATGTATATACAGTATACACATACGAGTATTATAATTATTATGACTGACACGCAACATTCCTTAATTTATTCGTTTTATTGAAAATTATTATTTATCGATTAAATACACCGGATAAATCATCGTTTTTTAATAATGGTTTGTTATTAATTTCGATTCTGAGCGAAACAAGTATATATTAGGGATAATACGAGTTATAATTTATTTTTATTTTTTCTGTCAGTGAAAAATATTTCGACCAGAAATCTTGTTCCACCATTATCAGTTTCAAGAAAAGTTTTCTAGTAGAATATTTTGTCTAGTTGCATCGATTAAAACGCCGAGGAAGTCATATAGGATTTTTTAGACGTAACATAATTTTTGAAATGTTCTCGAATTTGTATCCTATTATAATTATTATTTTTTTCTTTTGGCTATTTGAAATTGGTATTTAAGTCGATAAAATTGTATTGGCTTCGAATAAATAAAACTTAAAACGAAGTCCTAGGATAATGGGGATAGGTGCAGCCACTGTTATAGATAATTTAATGTATACCTATAAGCAACGATAAACCATTGTTTACGAAATACGATTCTGAGCGGAGTTCTGTTGGTAGTGATACTTTTTCAACAATATATAATGTGTCATTTGTTAGTGAAATAATTAAATAGGTTTTATATATTTTCTTTAATCTTATTTGTTTAATGTTGTACCGAATTTCCCAGTTTTCCTAAGTTTTTTTTAGGTTTTCCCATTTCCTTATAGAAACATTGATATCATTAAAAGTTGGAGCGAAAGTGCTGGTTGAAAAGTTGTACACAGGAAAAAAAATCGTAATATTTCAGTAATATATTTCGTACATTTTCCCGTTTTTCCTCCGTTGTTTTTCGGTTTTTCAAATTTGATGAAAAAACTCTTGAGAAAATTGAGAAACTACCTCCCTAAAGTACTTCTTTACACAGATTTCTTTTTTAAACAAGGTGATACACTTAGAAATCAGAGCAAGTCTTCTGGGAGAAAAGTTGTTGATAAATAAAAACAAAAAAATAAACATCTTTGTAAAACCATAAGTTTCTTCGTTTTTACTCAGAGTCTGAATTTTGGTATAATAAACGTTCCTCATAAGTTGTTGTTAACTTATTATACAAATATCGAGAATCCGGTCTACAGCTTTTTTTCTTCGATTTTTTGAAATACATATTTTAACGAAAATTCATTAAAATTGTGTATATAAATTTTAAACTATATGTATTACATTTTTTTTACCTTGTAAAAACGTTATAATTATTACTATTCCATCATTATGTTTTCCACCACGCTGTCTGGTTTGATGTGCATTTATGTTTTACGAGTTTTCGTGTACTCGACTATTTTCTTTCAACTTAAAAAAAGGGGTTATATTGCTAATAAATGAGTCACTGTTGAATATGAGAAATTAGGAATGTAGGATACATAAAATTATTTAATTTATATCTATATACAAAGATGAAACATTGCTAACGAAACACTATTCTAAACGAAGTTTGATGAAACATGTTTTGATATTCCGTGATTTTTACGAGTTTCGTAAAAATGTTTAACTTTAAACGTATAGATATCTGGTATATTGAAAACGACTGATATAGATTACACTTTTTTTTATCACTGAATAAAACTTATAAAATTATCAAACATTTCTGATCGGCCAAAACAGTTATACTCGTATAAAATCCGAATATAATACCTAACTAACTAAAATAACTCGATAATGTCAAATATCTATAATTAAATAGTTTGAAAATCGTCAGAATGTTCTGAACATATTACTATACGTCTATAAAATGTTAATATAATTATTCTGTGAACAATGTTACTATCTAATAAGATTATTTTTAACCGAATTAAAGCAAAAATAAACAAAATCGAAAATAATGAAATATTTATTGTCTTAAACTGTCTCGTTTTTCATTCGTTCTTTTCCGATTTTCCCATTCAATTAAGAATACTATTACTGTTATAATTTTTTTTTTTTTTTTTTAGCGTCCGATATCCCTTGTGTCCAAACGGTCGCGTCCATTTGTCTTAGACAAATTCCTTTACTCGAATACTGTATTACATCGTGTAAAACGATGGGCTAATCTCCCAAATTTATGTATATATATATGAAACATGTTTATCTCGTCTTTATAATTAATAGATACGATTTTTTTTAATACACCCGATTATTTGCATAAATAAAAAAAAGAGTGAATAATTCATATAATGTACGACGCGGCGAAATTAATGTTTCGAACTGTAGCTAATAACAAGTAGGTACCTAACAGGGTATTAACTAAGCTCTATTAATTAAAATACAAAGGTTTAGTAACGACACGACAATAAAAAACAACTCCATTCTGTACCTACGGTTATATTTTATAACATGAAAATGGCAATGCACGTTATGAATTAGCACAAAAAAAAAAGCAAAATAAACATAAAATGAAATCTGAGACGTGACGATAAGCAAAAAGTCCAACGGTTGAATACTGTTATATTCAGTGATGCGTCTTTTTGATTACCTATTGTACACAATACGTGCTTTATGGTTCTATAAGTTTAGAAATCCATTAAATTGAATTGGTATTACACGCTCGGTGTTCAAATTATTATCCAAATGGTGAGTACTTAAGATGTTTTGATTGATGTTAGTTGTGATGTCTGTTTTTAAATTCCGAGCGTAGCAAAGGAGCTATTGGTTTTATTGAAATGTTTATTTTTTTTTTTTCTTTCTTTCTTTCTTTCCTTCTTTCTTTTTTTCCTTCTTTATTCTAGTCTGTGGACACCTTTTTTCGTAGTAAACTTGCTCCGATTTTTACGTGTAGCACTTTTTCAGAAAGCTCAAGTTTTTTAGATTGTACTTTAAAGAAATCATTTTTTGATTTTCGACGCTATTTTCAAAATAAATGCAGTGGAAAAAACGTAGGAAAACGTACAGTTTCATTATTTTATAAAAACACGGACGACGTTTTCTAAAAGAAAAAATGATTTAATCAAAAAATCACAAAATGCCTTTTTTTTTGTTTTTTTTTGATTTACTTTTATAAGGTATCATTTTCAAAACTTTTAAGCCACTTTTAAGCTTTAAAGAAATTTTAATTTTTGAGAGTGTTTTTGCTGTGATTGGTTATAGATACACGCAGACTTGAAACGTAGTAATAATAATTATATTGGACTTAGCCGTGGTCAAATTTCCAAAATCATCGGAAGGCTTTTTTTTTTTTTAATAAGCATTTTGAAATCAAATTTAATCACAAAAAAAATTACGGCACTTCATATAATATATTACCGAACTGCGCTCGGAATCGTCTTTCTTTAAATAATGGTTTAACGTTGCTTACAAATATAAATGAAATAACCTTATGTATCCTACCTTCCCAACTTCTCACCTACAACAGTGGTCGCTCCCATCCCCAGTGTCAGCTCTTTTTTTTTTATCATTTTAATTTGATCTTTTTTTTAATCTATTTATTTCTGATTGTAAATAATTTTTCCTATCAGAAATCTCGCTCCAATCATACTATAGATGTGGTTTCTTTAAATTTGAAGATTTTGAAATTTGAACAGTTCAAAAATCTAGCATTGAAATGATCGTATTTTTATTTTCTTTGTAATTTTCTTAAGAACACTGCAAAAATAAAATGAAAAAAAGATCTTGACGTTTCAACTAGATACGATTTAATTTCAGAAAAAAACCCTACTCTTCATCGGAACAATATATATGGTAGAAAAATTATTTACAAACAGCGAAAAAAAAAGATAAAAAAAATACACACATCTATAGTAAAACCAACACATTCCTCGCTGATCTTGGAATACCTAAACAAAAAATAATACTCTTTAAAACGACGATTAATAACCCCCGGTAATATATTATTTTTGTTGTTGGAATCTTATCTATATGCGTTGAAATTTACGGCATGATCGTTATTATTAAGGAAATCTTTCGACCAGCATTTTTTTTTTCTTTTCGGTTGAATCGAGCTTTACTTTTTCGAACAACCCACGCAATGATGATTTATCATGATACTTGAAAAATAATAATAACGATATAATATTGTAAAACTAACTTGGCGCCAAACCGAGATCATGAGTGCCTATCAACACCCGTTTTTTCGTATCCCCGCGGCGGTGTCGAGATGGGAATAATTTCGCGTGATATTAAATTTCTCGTTTTATTTATGACGCCGCGTAATAATAACAGGTACTTTTTTAGAGTTTAATAATTTACATATTATTATAGACTTTATTCTTGCAGCAGGCGCGTCAAGTCAAAAGGTTGTGAATTTATTCAAATGTATCTTTACATACATGTTATTATATACTTATACCTACTGTGAAATACGAGTTTTTCACTTTTCATTTAAAGGATGGCAGAATGATCAGTTACCCTGTTCTCTCATCTTTTAAATCAAGTACACGGATCCGAACCGAATCTTACGAATTCTCACACACGATGCCTATTAATTTGCTCTATATGTGTCTAATACATACCAATAAAAGTGTTTCTCTCAATCATTTTAAACTTATTAAAACCTCAGGCTATAATTTCCAGAAATTTTCATTTTACTATTTTTTCGGTTACACTGCTCAATACCTATCAGTTTTTGTTAATCATTATTAGGTATTTTTATGATTATTCCTATGCCCCTCCCCCAGAAATTTTAATTACTCCCCTCTATCAAATTGGATAACAGTGTACATTTTGTTTGTACAGATTGTACAAAAACATATGTTTATCGTACACAATTAAAATAAAAAAAATCCACGACAAACACGTTTAAAACAATTTAAAAATTTAATATCGTACAAATTAAAATATTTATAATA